CAAGGCGATCACTGCATTCAAGATTTTCGTCTACCATCGCGACCATGCTCTTGGGGATAGCGACGCTGTTATTCCTAAGATTATCCGCGAAAACAAGCATGTAATCAACTTCCCTAAGACCAACAACAAGTGCGTCTTCCACTGTATCGCCTGGCATACATTCCAGAGCCCTAAGAAGGATCCTCGCATAATTCAGGCTCAGGTGAAGGAGGCATTCAAGCGCTACCGCTCTTTCAAGGGGGTGAAGTATACGTTGAGTCTATTTAGAAGCTTCAAGCCTATTGACCTACTACAGCTCGATGAGGTTGAGGACTGCTTCCAACTCGGTATTAACGTATATAGCATGGATGTAGCTTCCGGAAATGTAGAATGCATTCGTAGATCGGACAAGGGGTATGAAGCTATGGATATTTTATCGTTCGAGAATCATGCTCTTTACATCAAGAACATTAATATGCTTCAGGCTAAATATCAATGTCCTAAGTGTGAAATGGTTTTCGTCAGCGCTGAAAAGCTGAAAAATCACAAGAAGAACCAGTGTGAGCTTGTAAATATTGAGAGCTTCCCCACTGAGCCAACTATATACAAACCGGTTCAGAACACGATACGATCACTGCTTACGAAGTATTCCGTCAAGGATGCTGACCATTACATCGATCACTTCATAGTTTATGACTTTGAGGCCATTCTTAAGCCTACCGCGACTCAACACGGGGAAAGTACTGTCTTTACGAACGAACACATCCCTGTGTCTGTATCCATAGCTGATAGTTTAACCGAGGAGGTGCGCTGCTTTGTGAATGAAGATCCGAAGATGCTGCTGACGGATATGTTCAAATACATCGGTGATGTATCGCTGAAGATTCAGCAGTACAATGCCAATAAGTATAAGTCGCTTCTACAAAAAATCATCAATGCTCATGGTATGGCAGGTATGGAAATTCCAGGAGTAAATCTTGGCAAGACCTACAAGATGTCCGATGTGGATAGTTGGATTGAAGTGGGGAAGTATGCCAGCTTCTTTGACTTTCACCGCAGTCTTGGTTCTGGTAAGCAAAGGTCTGATTATGTGAAACTGAAACAGCAGCTTGACCAAGTACCAGTATTCGGCTTCAATTCTGGTCGATACGATATTAACTTGATTAAGAAAGATTTGTTTGCCGTAATTGGTACCGACAACATCAAATCTGTCATCAAGAACCCCAGCTACATGTGCATTGCTACATCGGACATGAAAATGCTTGATATCACTAACTATGTACCAGCTGGTACCAGCTACGACAAGTATCTTACAACATATCTCGGTGGCTGCAAATGCGATGACAAAATTAGATGTGTTTGTGGTCTTGGTAAGGGTCTTTTCCCTTACGAGTACATCACCGCGTTCAATGTTCTAAAGCAGACTACTATTCCACCTAAGTCAGCGTTTGATAGTAAGCTCCGTGGAACGAGCATCACGAGCGATGACTACGAACGAGTGAAGTTCGTGTGGGATTACTACGAGATGAAATCAATCAAAGACCTACTGATCTGGTACAATAATCTCGACGTAGTCCCTTTCACCAAAGCTATCAAGGCTCAGCGAGAGCTATTTAAGCGCTTCGATCTGGATATGTTTGCGGATGGAGTGTCCCTACCTGGTCTTTCAGAGAAGGTCATGTATCAGACCTGCTTCAATAATCTCCAATATCCGGATAAGAAACCTGCTAACGCATTCCGATTTCCAGCTAAGCGCATGGCTGGCTACAAGAGTCAGGATGCTAAGGCAAAACGAAAATTTGGTATGACGCTTGAGCACGTGAATACATTGCTGCAAAAGCAAAAGTATCTGTGTGGTCTATGCTATTGTCAGCTGACTGCTGATACCGCTTCCGCTGATAGAATCAATAACAATCTTGGGCACACTGATGGTAATATCTTGATCAGCTGCATTTCATGCAACACCGCTCGAAAAGATATGTCCCTCAGGGGGTTCAGATACAAGAAACTGCTTGATTTTAACGCAAACAGATTGGTGTTTTCGATTGACAAGGAGGAATCTGAGATTTACGGGAAAATGAAAGCTAACATCGCTGGTGGACCATCAATTATATTCAACAGGTATGCTAAGCGAAACGAGACGAAGATTCGTGGAGGTAAGATCTGCAAGAAAATTATCGGATACGACGCTAACGCTCTATATCTATGGGCCCTTGGTAATGAGATGCCATGTGATCGATTGACTACGGTTGAAGCGTATGATGGTATCATCGATGACATCAAAGCAGACAAAGTATTCGGCTTTCTTGAATGTGATATTCGAACACCAGAACAACTTAAACAGTACTTTGGTGAGATGACTCCAATTTTCAAGAATGTACTGATCGACTGTACGAATGAGAGCGTCATTGGTAAGCACATGTTCGAACACAATGAGGCGCGCAAGCAATGCCGAGCAAAACCAGCTCGCACGTTGATTGGTAGCTACTTTGGTGAAAAGATTCTTATCTACACTCCATTACTCAAATGGTACCTTTCGCACGGTATGGAGATCACTAAGACCTACAGCTTTATCAAGGCCAACTCTTACAAGGCATTTGCACCATTTATGGAGGCTGTATCAAATGCTCGCCGAGAGGGTGATGTTGAT